ACCAGCTCCAGCTCCTACTCATGTGAGCTGTTAACCAGCTCCAGCTCCTACTCATGTGAGCTGTTGATCAGCTCCTTTCATATGAGCTTGAAATGGTGTGCTAGCTCCCACTCTCGGAACTGATATGGAACTGTCACACCCCTATTCACCAGATAACTCTACAGTTATATTATTCTACTGATGCATGTATGAGTTACACATTTTTGTTGTCTACCTGATAAAGTTTGACGATTTGGTGCTCCAGTTTTATCTTCTTGTTTATTTGTTTTTCCGTTGATAATTACGAATGTTGACATAGCGGCGGCAATTATTATCAGGATGATACATACAATAATAAAAGCTTTTACAAGTTCCTTTGTTTTCGTTCGTGTTACACTATTTCTTCTGTTGGATCCTTTATTGTCTTCTTCAGCATAATGTTCTTGTTTGGGGAGTACTGTATCCCTGGTCGTTAATGGACGAGAATCATTATTAATTTCCACAAATTTCGCCTGCGGAACTTTATCTAAATAGGAAAATGATGCTATAATGAAGTCAAGGCTACCGGTTTTCCTACATTAGCACAATAGTTAAATCGGTATTAATACTATAAAATAGCATGTTTTTTGATTGAAAATGGTATCATTTTATAAAACATGATAATCATAAAAAATAGTCTCATTTTATTTATAAGGAGAGTGATTTTCTTATCACCATAGGCTCTCTACAAGAATCTCAATACGGTCGTACTTCGAAAAGTGTTGTTAGCGTAAGTGATTTTCCTCTCTATTCTTAAATAACGGTGTCAACTTCCTAGATGCTAAAGAGTAGATGGCGTATGTGCTCTTTACAGTACGTTGAACTGAAAGTTATTTGTCTCAGAATGATAAAAACTATCTATGGGCGTGTCTGAACCCTCTTAGAGAAGAGCATAACCTTGGGGTAGAATTTTAGTATTTTTTTGCAATTTGTTCATATCACTTGACGCTTCTGGCAGAGAATATACACGATGAAAAAACATGTGTTGCAAATAAAAATTAATATTGTATTTGGTAATCAATAGGTTTATCAGTTTGATAGAAAAGAACATCACCTTCGAAACTGTCATAGAGTTCATTTTCAATTCTTTTTTTGTTAGAAAAGCAATTCGATGACGATCTTACTTCAGTGTGTTAAATAGCGTAAATATTGCATTGATTTTTTCTATAGCATGTTGGGAACTGATTCAAAATATCAATAGTTTATAAACTAATATATTATAAGCCACAACTACCTGTTGATTCGGCTAAAAAGTGCTCGTCTTCTTGCACATCTAAACATACAAATCGAAAAAAATTTATTGAAGAAAAACGTTCCTGTTAGGTTACCAGGATTTGGATATATTGGGAGCGAAGATAACTTGACCGACATTCTACCTAATACTAAAAATTTGAAAATAAAATAAATGGTATAAGTGGTGAGAAACTGATTATTCCATAAAGTGAGACTTAAGTGTTTGTCCTACGAATGCCATAGCCTTCCAGCATATAGCACGTGTAAAGGTGCTGCTTTTGGAAAAACTTTTCGAACAAATCCTTGATGAGTTAATACCTTAGCTTCGCTGTGCTGGCACAAGAATGCCTACCTTCATTTTTTTCTACCAGAAATATACAATCGGAAAAGAAAACCAAAGTGATTTTTGTCAGCATTTTCCCAATATTTCGAGATTGAACGTAGATTTAGTAAAATCTGGCATCTCGAATAGGGCGAGAAGGATCTGTATTCAGAATTTCGACTCGATAGGACAATTTTTTTTCAAAAGATGAGTTTTATTTTCTGATTGCTATTTCTCGTGAAAGTACTAGCCCAATCAGAGGTTAGTCTACACATTTTTCACATCAACGAGGTCAAAAAAGGCGGACCGCCCAGAACGCAGTCCGATTCACTTCTCGGTTACAGTTCAGAACTTTAAACTAATGTGGGGACATGCCTAAATGTCTGATTGATAATGAATTTGGTTTCATTTGTTGATATAAGGTGCGAATAAGCCAGCATATTTTCCATAGTTAGAATAATACGAAGGATCTAGGAACACATGAAGGTAGAAGAGGAAGTGAAATGTTGAGGAAAATAATATACGATAGAATGGCAACTTTTAGTACATCATTTTGATAAATCATAGAACAAAGAACAAAAAATTTTAATTTATCTAAGAGAAACGTTGTTATGGGGGTCACTTCATAGTTGAGACAACTATTTTTCGCCCTCGTTTAGCTTGCCGCCCTCTGATGTTGATTAAGATTTCCTAATTAAGACTAATTTTTTGATAACAAGTGATCCTAATTTGGCACACTCCGTTATGGGAGGGGTGTCAGAATATCGGTACGCGGTGTATTCTCAAAAAGAGACTATTTTTTTCAAACTTGCTGGGCTTGGTGTATTCTCAGTGAAAATACAGTAGAATATACCAGAATACGCAAATATATAAATTTCTATAATATGTGCTGAGCTTGGTCAGGTTTTCCGATTGTTTTTAACCAGGGTGAAGAGATTTTTTTTAGCGGACAGTTTTTTCCTAAATAAGTGAAACACTCGTTAATTGGAAAAATATTTTGTTACTCTGTATCAGAATTTACTTTTTCAACGAAAACAGTATTTAACATATGAAGTGGAAATTAAAAGTCGACTTTCTTAGCGTCAGAAGGAATGAGCTCTAACGTCGCAGAAAACTTTGTTTATTCTTCTAGATAATAATAATGTTTGAGTAAAGTGTCGAGGTCGTTTCGTTTTCAAAACGCCAGCAGATAGATGGCGTTTCATCTGGCGCTAAGAAAGTCGACTTTTAATTTCCACTTGATATGAATATTCATCCAAGTCATTCATAACGTTATATTCCGTTCTTTGGCTCAACCTGGCATGAGAAATGAAATCTTTTATAACAAAATGAGTAGTTAGTTGAACCCTACAAAATCTGGGGTAGTTGAAGTTGTAAACTCGAAGCTTTAATATATGTTTCGAGGGCCACGTCTCCCATACGGTTTCGTGTCCATGTTTTCACTCGACGAAGTGTGCTAAAAACTCGTTCAGCTTCGTATGACCCAACAATAAAGAACTTAAAGACTGTCTACCGGTTATTCTGACGAACAGCCACAACTCAAAAGACTGTCTGCCAGTTATTCTGATGGACAATCAGAACTTAAAAGAAGCCAGAACACAAACTCCAAAAGTTTGGCTGACAGTGTCAAAATTTAGGGTGGGGAGGTCTCCCATTTCCTCGCCTAATCGGAAACGCTGGGCTTGGTGTATTCTCAGTGAAAATACACGAGAATACACAAATGTTGCATAGTGGCTCACTCTCGTGCTGCACCTGCCCCCCCCCCGACCGTGGCACTACATTCTGTATTGTCACTGAGAATACACCAGGCCCAGCAAGCTCAGGAAATAGTCTCTTTTTGAGAATACACTGCATACTGATATTCTGACATCTCTGCGTTATAGGGGATACATGATATAAACAAACTAATACACAATGTATCATCGAGACTATTATCAAAGAATAAAGAATCAATTTTATAAAATGGTTCACAATTCTATTTAGAAACACAAATTAAAATATAACATAGAATTTCTGATAGAAATTGAAGACATAATCTATAAAACCATCGAACATTTAGATGAGCCGATTACAAAAAACACGAGATTCAAAATTACAAGGTTATATACGTACAATTGTTCTATCAAGCATGAAAATAAAACGAAGAAAACGGTTAATGCTAGTCATCAAAATGAGATTAATGTTTTATATAATCGATCACAAGATAAAAATACTGTGGTCATGAAAATAGACAAATATAATGTTTATATGATTATGAATAATGATCAATATCAGCAAATAGATAAGCATTCATTATTGCAAGGTGATGATGGTTTTATTAAAACGACTGAGTGTAATAGTCACGGATATAACATCATATTATCGTATTCCACCTGATTACTGAATGAAGCTGGATAAAATTCAAAAATATAATTTCAAGACTCCTTCAAATCTGCTAGGATTATACAACAACTTAAATCAAATAAGAACAATATATTAACAATACATATTATAATAGAAATAGAAGGATCGGAATTTAAACAAGAAAGATTGGAAACAGTTATTTGAACTTTCGATAACAAAATTAAAAAAATGAACATTGCAACATAATGCAATTGGAAAAAAGATATATCAACAAGATTTTTATCATTACTAATGAGACAAACATCCATTGGAATAAAATCTATCTAAGATAATATCTGCTTGTNCAATGGTGTCATTCAGGTTTTATGTATATACAAGTGAATAATGGATCAATGAGTTTTTCTCGTGCCTTCATTCTGGACGACATTTTTATGGAACATCTAGAAAATTAAAAAAATGAACATTGCAACATAATGCAATTGGAAAAAAGATATATCAACAAGATTTTTATCATTACTAATGAGACAAACATCCATTGGAATAAAATCTATCTAAGATAATATCTGCTTGTAAATTTGTAATTATGAATTATCGCAAAATAGAACTTAGCGTACGAAATGTGAAACAACAGTTCATTAAAACCCATCATGCACACCGATTCCCATCGACAATGAATTAGTTGTTCGGCAAGTAAATATAAAATAGAATTAATACAAACATTAATACTACATACTACTAAAATATGTTCAACGAAATAAATATTAAGAGATAAATGTAATTATATTGGAAAATATCTACTTGGTTATTCAAATCATATAGTAAAAAGAAAAACATCAAATATAATTGATGATGATAAAAAAAAGGTTACAATTTCTTTGCTAAATAAAATTATTAAAATGCTATGTTGACTTTTGCCAAGTAAATACGTATCTGCTCAGTAAATAAATTAAAGCTAAAGTTAAGTAAAATTAAGCTAAGTGAAAATATTGAACGCTCGGTTAATTTATACTTTCTTAGCGTTAAAAATATTTGCTACGTTTAATAATTAATATCTAAGTAAAACATTTTTTTGTTAAGTTAATAAATTGAAATCATAGTTAAAAAATAAAATTGCTAAGTAAAAATTATTACTACTAAGTAATTTCTAATAAAGACCAAGTACGATTATCTAAGATAGGATGAATTTTTTTATGGTGGTAAGGCGTATGCATTTTCTCTCTTTCTTTCCTTCTGTCAGTATTGAAGTAGTACCGTAACATATGTATGTTCCATCGGTATTTTCTTTCGTTTTGATATTATGTGTGAATACGTGCTAGTTTTCTTCGAGAATATTCCAGTACAATCATTTTTGCTCTCTCTCGTCCCCTCCATTGGAAGTTTACTTTGAAATTATAAACCATGACAAATTTTGTGTACGAATTTAACAACCGTTTCCGCAATTTAGCTCTTCTTGGATGGCAGCACAAAACTATGTTTCTGAAGGCCCATCAAGAACTTCGACTGTATAGATACTGATCCATTCAGATTGTAGAGCTCATTGTGTTTTCTGTGTGAAAATCGTTTCAAAGCACTCACACAATTTATAACAGAGGTATAAAACTTTGAATTTTAACCAAAGCGTAAAATCTGACCTTTTCTTTCACGTAAGTTTTTATTACTCTGTTAAAAATTGTGCTGGTGCTTTGAAATGATTTTCACACAGAAAACACAATGAGCTCTACAATCTGAATGGATCAGGATCTACACAGTCGAAGTTCTTGATGGGCCTTCAAAAACATAGTTTTTATGCTGCCATCCAAGAAGGGCTAAATTGCAGAAACAGTTGTCAAATTCGTAATCGACTAGTCGAAAAAACCTGTGTTTTATTAGAAAAGCTATTGATCATCTGGATGTGTTTCTTCGTAAGAGAGTAATGCATGCTTAAAAATTTTAGACAAATCAGGTATATCCTCAGCACATGACAATGTGGATCTCATTTTCCATTGAGAAACTGCAGATCATCTACCACACTATCAATTCTCTACGTAACCTTGTTCGCATTATTTAAATCTTTGTTCTGAGGATAATGAGCATAACGAATTGAATAGAATATATTCAATACATTCATTTTAGACTGCCGCTTGTATTGCGGGTAAGTTCATTGAACGCGATTAGCCCATAGCTGCTTTACCTCTGCTTCATATTAGATAAATTCTATAAGGATCATAAAAAGAAGATACAGATATCCGTATGATTTATTATTAGTAAAAACAGATCGATTTTCAGCTCTATATCAAGGTTTGTTCTAGACAATTACAGCAGATATTCTATTCACTTACAAAAATGGTATTAAGAGAGGGATTGTACGTTGGTCAAGAAAATTGACAATATTGAAAAAGTGGAATCGAATTAAAAGGTCTAATTGAAAGAATTTATATGTTCTCATTGAACAGAGCGTCCGTTAATGTGAAATCCAAAGTTTAATACGTGAAAAAGTGTTCATTAAATTATAAATATTCTAAGAAAAGCGTCGAAAAAGTGTTCTGATAAATCATGTGATTAATCGTTGGAAAAGGGCGATCGGGAGCTTAGGAAAATATTCGATTGCGCTGATAAAGCGAAACATCTCTGATAAAGCGAAACATCTGGCAAGAATAACTTTAACAGTTACGTTAAATCATATTTGAAATGATAAGCAACATTGAGAAAGGAAAGAAGAAGCAAAAAAATAATAATAACGTATGTCATCTTGAGTTTTCAATCTTTCCTTTGTACTTTATATAATGATATTCTTATCTACATTTGCCATGTAACGATGATCATCGAGCTTTATGAAATATTTAATGTTATAATAAACTGAGTTGTTATCTTTTCAAGTCCAGTAACAATGAAACAGAATACAAACATACAGTGACGACCAAAACTGAGCCTCCTCCACTACATGATGACATTG